CCCGTGAAAATTTTTGGCGGGAAAATGGCTAACTCCGGAATCAGGGAAGCTGGGAGGCTGAAACTTCAGGAAATGTTCCGAACTCATCTAAACTTGAATTTATCAAATTCAGCCCCAAATATGCGTGGTTGCCACGTACGGCCCAGTGAAATTTCCTGGCTAGAATTTGGGTAACTCGGGAACTGAGAAAACTGGGAACCTGAGATTCCGAGAGAATGTTCTGTATATCACTGGTTCATTCGACGAGCAGTTGGTACTAGCGTGTTCTGCGAACTGCATTTTTTTTGGTTTGCTTGAGGCCACCAACACTCTGTTGCCAAATGGGTACCACACTCGGGCCGTTTTCAGTTTGCCTTTGTTTTTTTCACTGATGGGGTTTCGGCAGCTTGATCTGGATATTCCTCAGTGCGACGCTTCTCTTACTGATAGCTCAAATTGATTTAACTCAGTGATCAAAACATAGCAGATGAGCGCGCCCCGGGCAATAGAAATGGCGCTGTTTGTGTTGACGGCGATGGTAACGACAACAAGGTTTCCCGTTCCGGAGCTTCGAAAACCTCCAGCGCAGCACCAGGAGTGTCCGCACCAGTTGCTGCTGTGGAAACAATAACAACGGCGATGCTGACAGTGGTGGTGACCATGAATGCATGGACAAATGGACCAGTGGAACCGCCCGGGACAGGTCCTGCTCCTGCTGCTGTTGCTGCTGCTGCTACTGCTGCGTCTCCGTCTTCCGCTCGTTCTTCCCATTTTCAAAAGTGCTGCTGCGAACGACGGATCTGTTTGTGAGGGGTGGTTCTGGTTGCTATTATATTATGGATTGCTGTGTATCTCCTTTCCCGGCTATCCCCCTCCCCTCTCCTTCCGTCCTACCCCACCTGAATTTTGATTTACCTGTGGGTGTCCCCATATCCATATGAATGTGCTTCCACGAGCTTTTCTCACTGACAGAATGAACTCCTCGCTGAGAACAGGAATGTGGTTTGATGTTTTCAACCACCATTCATTTTGGTGCTTCGGACAACTGCGCGTCTATATTTACCGCATTTCCCCCAAATGTGATATTCTTTTTTTTTTTAAAATCAGCCTTCGTAAATCTTAGCTGCTTACTTATGTGCGGGATATTATTGTAAAGAAAGAAAAGAGAAAGAAGGAGAAACTGGGGAAATGGAAAAGCAGGATTTACCGAGATAAGACGCTTCGGTCCATTCATGTGCGTCTTAGCGCACCATCGCATCTGGGCTTTGTCAGCCACCGGTTGCGAAATCCTTCCATCCTTTTAAGTGCAGCCTAGCGTTTCTTGTTTGATTTTTAAATTCTTTGGTAAGATTTTCGATATTTCTTCATATGCCATTACGGTCAAACGAGAAAGTAAAATCCGATGGGCAGGACATGTTGCACGCCTTGCTAACAACCGGTGAGTGATGCCCATTAGTGAGTGGTATCCTCAAGAAAGTAAACGACCACTAGGTCTACCCCCGAAGAGGTGACGCACCTACGTAAAATAGGCGGCAGGTAACTGGAGGCATGCAGCCCGGAACCAAAGGACCTGGCATAGCTGCGCTCAATCTGTGGGAG